TTGTACCTGTTTGCCCTACCCATCATATCAAAAATTCATTATCACCACTAGAAAATGGCTGAGCACAGAATGTGGCAAATCATTCCATCTGGACCAGTATTACGGATGAGAGTGGGAGGGTGAAGGCTGCTATTAAATGACAAGGAAGAACCAGCGGTACTGAACTCCTATGCAGCGAGGACTCAATGGTCGATTTCCCCGCTGAAAGGGTAATGTGGAAAGCGACTTCAAACCACCAAAACTTGTCTTAGCGCATGAAAGTCAGCAGCCAAAGAGAGGTGTTATGGAGGATAGCACAGGCGTACGCATGTATAAATGTGCTCAGAGGACGTTCAAGATTTGATATGGTTTTAGATTTTATACTTAAAATTAAATTTAATGATATTTTATAATAATAATTTTAAAAAATTAAAATTAAAATTATTATTTATAATTTATAAAAATAAAATTATTTAAATTCATTATTTTTATAAAAATTTTGACAATATTTTTTTTAAAACTTAAATATTTAAAAATTTTCTTCAATCTATTTGAATCAACAAATTCATCATTCACTAACTATTTAAGGTAGTTACATATTATATAACAAATTTATTTATATAATAATAAATTTAGATTATACTAATAAAAATCATTTTATAAGAAAAAGAAGTTAGCTATTAAAAAAAGATAAAATAAAAAATTATAGAAAGAAAAAATATACAATTAAATAGTAAAGATAAATTATATGTATAATTTATACAATTTATTTAAACATCAAATATAACCCAAATTGAATAAAAAAAATCCCTTTACAAATTAAATACAACCCAATTATAATTAAATTAATTTAAACAATTTTAGATTTGTTGAACACTACTAGGTCCATGTGTTAGAGAAAGCTGAAAAATTGTTGAAAGAAAGGGTGAAAGCTTCCACTATCATGGGAAGAAGCGGTGTTCCTAAAAGAAACAGGTACTCACATAGACAGTATTATGCATTTTACATTTGACAGAGAGGTCAAAGGAAACCAGAGAAGAAATTAACCAGATGCAGGGAAAGAAACTGATATCCAAGATCTCCAATTTCTAACGACTTAAGCACCAACACCACCATGGTTTTTATCCTCAAAAACATTTAAGTGCAATAATTTACAATCTTCCACAACGAACATGCCAATCACACGATTGCCGACAAGGAATGACACTTGTTCCCCAGCCACTTATGTTTGACAATTTTGACTTGAAGGCACCGAATCTGCAACTGCAGTTATCTTCTTCTGTAGCTCGGGTTTATTAGCTCCAACCAGTTTGTCAACTTGCTGCCCATCTTTGAGAAAGAAGAAGGTTGGAGTGGCTTTGATGTCCCATGATGTACTGAATTCCTGCATCAATAAACAACACAGTTCAAAGAAGCCTGAATTTTGTTGAGGTCTTTCTGAAAAGGCAGGTAGAATTAGTTTTTGGGTTTTGGCATATCAGGATTGCTACAATAAACAAAAAAATGCAAGAATCTTAAAAGTTAATTTTTTATGGATTAAAAAGGCGTAAAAAAGCTTATCCTTTCAAACATCACGGATTGGATACATGATCTTGCATCTTTACCACTTCAAAACACCTGAAAATTAATACTCAAAAGCAGCATTTTTCTTGAGCCTTTTTTTTAATTATTTTGTTTGGGTAATTTAAATGAAAGTCAAACTAATCAACTTCCTCAAAAGGAAGAAGGCTAGATAAGACCTATACACAACACACGCACACCATACTCGGCCGATGTGAGAAAAGTAAACACAAACAAAGCCAAGCACCAATGCTTGAGACCTTTTAGATGGAATGAAAGATGTGAATAAAAATTTTGAATTGGCCGTGTAATTTATCATCCAGCAAAAATAAAAAATAAATAAGAGAATAACTGTATAAAAAATTCAATGGCACTGTAAACAACCAGTTATTTCCAATATATTCTGCACATTCCAAAGTGTTCTTTTCCATATTTACTTTCCAATAAATCTATACAAGCATGAATCTTACAATTTCATGCCATTCTGTAAAGTAACTCTATTTAAGCAAGGAACATAATAATGTTTTAGAACATTGCCTGACAAGAATGGTTTTCTCTTTCTCAAGTTCAAGATAGTATCATATACTTACAGTTAGCTCATCAACATCGATAGTCAGGAATATTAGAGAAGGGATATTCCTCAGACAGCTCACTGTAGAATGGTGCAATCATTCTACAAGGACCACACCACGTTGCACTGAAATTTGCAACCACCTGTTTGATAATAGGCTTGACTTAGAAGAGTGAAAACGAAACACAACTCCAGGGAAAAAAAATCGCAATATGAAATAAGAAATTCATAAAAAAAACACTAGACAGCACAAAAGCGATGCAAATGCCCGGTACCCATTCAAGATAAGAGAACTCTTTCCAAGCAAAAATGAGTATTTGTAACTTAGATATGAACAGTAGCAAATGGAATGCAGCAGGAGGTAGCACTTCAACAAACATGTTTTTGAGTTTCAACAGAACTCGTCTAAGAAATCTTTTTAAAAATCAATATATTATTTGACATCATAATTTGAGGAAAATAATTCTGCATCTATGAGTAAATAAGAAAAACAAAGGCAATGCAGTTAAGAGCCACATTCACATATAATATTAACTTGAACGCAATTTGCCTAGCCATGGCATAGCTTATTTAGAATTTCAACTTAATTCATCCAATAATGGTGATTATGCTGCCTGACAATAGTAGGAAATTGAACAACAACTCCCCTTTGACTTAAGAGACCTCCCAAGGAAGTTGAAGGGTGCCATAATATTAGACTTCTAAAGAAGAAGATTTTAGTAGGAAGGTCAAGGTGGCAACAAAAGATTTCAAAGTGGAAATATAACTCCATTGAATGAAATAAGATGTCATCCTCTGTGCTAAGTGCTAACAACTCCAATGTAAGAACATCAAATGGATTCAATATTAAACGCATTATTGGAAAACTTTCAATTACACACAAGATGAACTGCCATTAATGACTAGATGTATTAAGACATTTGCAGTTGTTTTCTTCAAAGAAAGAAAAAGACAAAACAAAACAAAATCTCAAGCGCACAAATAAAAAGACACAAAATGGGCCTTCTAAAATCATATTATGATTCACTCCGTGAAATATAATTATTCCAATGTACTTACTATCTTGCCATCTCTCCTGGCTTCTGATAGCTTTTCATCCCAGCTATCTTTAGTTGTGATGAGTTGAACCTTGCCACCAGCTAACTCCACGTTGTGATCTGAATCACCATCATTATTGGCCTACAAGAATGATTAAAGATTATAACTTCTATTCACATGGATTACAATTTTCAAGGTTAGATTCTTAAAATTACGACAAGAAAAATTAAAAATAAGCAAAAAGGTGGCTTTTATGGAGTTCTATACGAACTTTGACAAGATTTCTTTTTTCCTAATTTATAGCATTTGAGTGTTATCCATGGCCTTAAGCAGAGTGTCACAAAGAGACAACAAATGTTGGCAAGAGACATTAAATCATTGCAATCCTATCACCAATAATGTGAGCATGTATTTCTGCAATTTGTAATAAGATTTTAAGACATAAGATTTCAAGATAGGAAACACAGCACAATGAAAACAGTTTTCATTCATCTTTTATCTTTAGCTCATAACAGATTTCTTCTTGTGAAGGCAAGAAGAGCTCGAAGAGAGAAAATAGTTATACTTTACTGACCCCCAAGAAAAAATTAAGATAAACAATCTTGTGCCATAAGTACATTTTATTGCTCCAAACTAAAGATTTACTTGTGCATAAATTAGGAAGTAAACATGCTGCAACTGGAGAAGCAAAAATGCTAATTTTACTTCAATAAGAAAAGAATGCATATTACATCAATTAAAACTAATAAAAGAGAAAGAAATAAGAGACAAGGTAAAAAAATGTTATTTATGTGGATCATTTTTCTCATTAATTGAATAAGAATGACAACAACACTTCGATGCACCTAATTATTTGATAATCATAAAAATAATTTATTCAACACATGTTAAAACTACTGACAAATTATGGTAACTTTTTATTTATTTGCAACAGAATCAATAGAGAGAACTCCCAGCAAATAGGATAGATGTCACTGAAAAAGAAACTATTATAGAATAAAGAGAGGCACATTATTTTTTGATGACTGAGAAACCAGGAAGAAGTAACTGACTTCAATAAATAATATCAAGGTAAATCCTGAAAGGTGTGAAGTTGTTCATTTTCAGATTAAAGAAAGACCCAAGATCACTAGCAAACAGGTGCACAATTATGATCATTCTCCCTGAAACAGATATCTATCGTTCCATTATAATAATTGGATAAAACATCAAACAAGGTTGATATTCCCATAATTCTACCCTGTTAGATTGTTTGAACAATTATTATCTAAGTACTCTTAACATTTGTTGATGTTGATACAACAGCACTAAAAGATATAACCTTGGGGTGCTAAGGTGATACTAAATGATTATGTTAAGAAGTGTCAAAAGGATAGGGAAAAAAAGTGGAAAGGCCCATCACCATTGTACCAAAGGAACTGTAGGAAAGCAAACATATTTGCAGTAGAATGAAACCAAAGCATTTCTCGTAGCTCATAATCGTGTAACAGGTTTTTATTTGTTCAATCTTTCAATCACATAGATACAGGTTTTGAAAAGACTACCTTAGTAAAGCAAAGTCCCATCTCTGTTTTAGCTGATTGCGCAGAACCCTAGCTTCGGTGCCCTGAAAGGCAACCAGAATCAAAGAGAAATAGAAATATCTGTGTCAAAACAATCCAAATTGGACCCAGAAACTTCTAACTGACATGAAATAGAAGCACTTTGAGACCCCAAGTCAAGGAAAAGTAATTAAGATCTCTACCCAAGTCCAAGCTATGGGATAGTATAATGTATTCAGGCAACTTTTCTAACAAAATTTAGTAGTTCAGAAGTCCATAAGGGGGCGTCAAGTCCGTGACTATTAAAGGCAGAATTCAGCAGCAAGGAAGTGCAGATGTCCAGCAGACATTCATTCATCAAATTGCTCTAGACTGCAACGATATTCGCAAAAATATCACCTCAGCCGTAGTAAGGCGAGCTAATCAACACCATCACTAGAAAATTAAGGACTATAATCGTAAGTTCTCCCCGAATCGCAGTCTTTGTCTTCTACAACCAGAGACGACTACATCAATCAAGAGCGTATTCAAAGTTTTGAGCAAACAAACCCCGAATTCACAAGCTTTCAGGAAAGAATCAAGTTCAAAAACACATTGGAGAAAAACTGAAATATGAAAGATCTTAATTACAATGAATCGTCAGCGTAATCGAAACAAAAACGGTATATCACGCAAAATAAGTCGGCAGCATTCCAGCTTACAGGTCGAAATTGCGAGACAGAGCCCCTGAAAGCGGAAGGATGGAGGAACCTTCGAGTTTGGGTACGAAAACGTCCACGGATCCGGATTTCGACACGACTCTGAGTAGACGACACCTCTACATGTACACATATACACGACACTGTGTAATGTACCATAAATCGATGAATAAGACAGGGCCGGGCGCCGGATGAGCTTCCGCGGATTCGACAAACACCATCCGCTCCCCTTTGTGACGTGCTCGATAATATCATTTTCAGGATGAAATCACGTTTTACACATGTTTTTCCCAAACAATACCATCTATGTCCGCAAACGCTGTCGTTTTTCCAGGTTTGATTTACCAAATGCCCTGGGCAACCATGGAGGTCGGTTCTTTTTACGGTAGAAAATGGATTTTATGTTTCTTCCTTTTGGTCAACCGCGGTAACACGTCACCGAGCTCACGTGAAACAATTATCCAAGAGAATTAAGCACTTTGACCTGCACGTGTAATCCTTTATAATTGCAATTAACATTTCCAAAATGAGAACGAAGGAAATAGGTGTAATTTGAATTATACATATTATGATAATTTATATGAATTTTTTTATGAACAAATTGTTTTTTCTTGCTCATTTGAATAGTACAGGAGGTGTAAATATATACTTAAAATTTTCATACAAATTAAGAAAGTTATAAATTATAAAATATCTAATATTTTTATAATCAAATTAACATTATCCACAATCTTACACAATTTTTCTGGAACACTTCTCTCAAATTGATATATAAATGTTAATCATGTCTGACTTGTTACAAATATAATTAACTCAAATTTTACTTAGTATTTTTGTGAAATTATCTTCTAATTTTTTTCAAATTTAGACATTTTTAAAAGAATTAATTTGACAATTAAAAAATTAAATAATTTATTTAAAAATTAATTATTTAAATTAATTACAATAAAAAAAAATAATGTGTTTGTTAAACTAAAAGAACCTAATCGGTCATATAAGTGAGTGTCGAGAGTATTTCACAAAAACGCAAGCAAAATTTTGATGAATTGCTTTAGTGGTTGATGTCTTTAGTTTATGGTAATCATGAAATATTTTTGTGCCAAAGAAAATAGTGAAAAGTCAGCCACCCCACTTGGATTTTGGCAAACGGTCATTTTAAGGGCAAAAAAGGATAATGGGTAAATTTATATTAATATTAAAATATTTTAATTTATTAAAATGGTTTTTGAAAATTTATTTACTTAAATACATTTTATAATTTTTATATTGAGAAATTGAGTCTTGAGAACCCTTCTTTTCAAGCACGATTTTTTTAAAAAATCAAGTCTTGGGAATTGAATTTCTTATGAGAATGACTCTGAGATACTAATTTCCCTAGCCTTATTTTCAAAGTGGTAAAAGGGCAGACGAACCTTGCAATAAAACCCGATACACGGAGCTCTATTCATACCTGTTGGATGATGAAGTTCCATAATAGAGCCTTGTTTGGAACTTTGTGATAGAAAGAAGGGGAGAAGGGCCACTTGTCGGTTGCACGAAGGAAGAATCACAAGAAGGAAGAGGAAGAGAGAGAAGAAAGGCAGAGCTCTCGTTGTCTGATGGGAGCTCCAAGAGTTCACTAAACCGATTTCAATAAGAAAATTAGTTCCTTGTATACCCATTTTCAAAAGAAATTAGACCCCATGAATTAATTTTATACTAAAATCAGGTCCTCAAAACCTAATTTTTCTCAAAAATCAAATTTTGTAGGGCCCAATTTCTCAATATGAACAATAAAAAAAGCCATTTTGGTAAATAATTTTTCAAAAACTTGTTTGACAAATAAAAATTATTAATATTAATATAAATTCACCAAATAATATGTGACAAAGGATTTTTCCTAATTTTGATGAAGAACACCATCACCATAACTAGAGGTTATTACATTCTTTAGAAAAAAAAATGTCTATTAGAAAGTGAGCAATGCTACAATTTATTATTTGATTTTATACTTTTATCTTATCCAATGAGGGATCCATGACCCATCACTCCAATCCTTAACACTATCATTAAAATGATTCATGGCCTCCTACTACTCTACCCACCTCCCCGAAAGTGCATGGAGTAAATTGCACCATTGCTTAACTAGTTTTTCAGAATCAAATTTAGTACTATTAATCGTATGATTATTACTCTCTTTCTAAAAAATACAATTATTATAATGTATAATATCACTGCTTGTAACCTAATACTCTTTTCTATCTTGTCCAACGTGAGATATGTGACACAACGTAGAGTTTACCCCTATACATTTTGCCTTAAACTTGTTCATCACTATTTACAAGTCTGGAAATTACAATTCAAGCTCGCTTCATTCACAAAATAAGGTAAATATAAGTTAAGATATGTTCAAGTCCTTGGCCTTTCAACTAATGTGTGCTTATAATTTATTACAACATAATATTGCATTTATTTGAAGGACGCAAGCGGAAAAGATAGTTAAAAATAAAATATTATTTCAGGTAGTGCTGACCCTTCAATGTTCAACTTTGTCTGTTTGCTCCGGCCAGTCAGTTGTATTGAAAGACCATCAGCAGGAGATTAATTTGGCTAATAAAGGAATTCACAGTTAAGGAACCGTTACGTAGACCTGGTCTAGCATATTAAGTGTAGACAAGTCAAATTTATTTGACAACCTCAAGCTTATTGTCACCCACATTCAACTATGTAGTCAAGTAATAAATTAAGGAAATAAACATTAATGCGGAAATCTTTTGCTCTGGATTCCTACCAATAATCGGTTGCGAGTCCAGCCAACCAAAACAAATCACATGACCAAATTCGCCCCCTTTTTTAAGTTGGAGAAACAGGAATGATAGAACAATCATGAAACAGCAAATACATCATCCACCGCTACTCTCTGTCTTCCTTTCTATTTATACCCCTTTTGGTTTATTTTCTTGTTCTGAAATTTTCACATTGCTGGTCATCCTTTGTTCATTTAACACAGTAAAATTAATACTATTATGTCGTGTTTATCTGACATTGCTTCTATTATATAGAAATTGAGAAATTCTATTTGTACTTGTAGTAGCCCACTTGGTTATGTCTCATTAATATCTAGCTGTGAACCAAGTTCAAACCCTAACAACCTTTATTTACCCTCCCTATACCGTTGATACGTGATAAATCTCGCTTCTACAACGAATTATTACATACTCCGGATAGAAGTCAACATCCCAACCTCGTCCTTGCTGTATGTAGAATATTTTTCGTACTCATTTTCAGAGGGCATTCTCACATTTAACCTTGTTATATATATATATATATATATATAATATTAATTAACACTAATATAATTATAAAATACTTACATTACATTTTATATCGTTAATTTAATCAAAATTAACAAATAAAACTAATTATAATTATTTTTTAATAATTAATTTGTAATCATTTTTCTTTTTTTAATATTAATTAATTTTATCCATTAATTTTATAAAAAAAATAATTATAAATTAATTATTAATAAACAGTTATAATTAATTTATCCGTTAATTTTAACAAAATTTACAATATAAAATTTAATGTAAATTTTTTACACTTACACTTGTATTAATTAATCATCTCTCTCTCTCTCTCTCTCTCTCTCTCTCTATATATATATATATATATAGTAGTTGTAGTAAAGTAGACAAAAGGGCTACTTCCAAGGCACCGAGTAATTTAACCCTGACCACATGGAATACACAGTACCAAAACACAACTTAACCCTTCTTTTCCTTCCTAAAGTTCTCCACATAAAATGTCTTCAAGCAACAGAGACAACAATCCATCTAACCAAACTGTTGTTTTGCCAAATGGAAATGATAGGAAAACGCAGAAAGGTTTATACAGGTTTCAAAGAAATACAGATATTTTAGAGGATATTTGACCCGTCATCCCATGGCATATTTTTGAGTCCAGCTGCGGGCAGTTGCCTCATACTTGGCTCGGTCAGTCTTGTACATATGGGCAATCTCCGGAACAAGGGGATCATCGGGATTTGGGTCAGTCAACAAGGAGCAGATTGAAAGCAAAACCTGATTAACAGCCAGGCATTATTAGTAATGCAGCAAATGCAGAGCATATCTTTATTTAAAGATCATGCAACAAGGCCATACACTTCAAGATTATTATGCACAATAGTAGTTAAAAGCTCATTAATGACTTCCACTGCCCTAAGGGCCCGATCATGCTTCTTTCATCAGGGAAAAAAAATGCTAGTATAGATGGTTATACTGGAATTAAGCATTTCAGTAAACACATCAAAAACTTCACAACCAAGTAAAATATCCTCATGTTTGAGAACATTTGATCATGGCAGGGTAAAAATTCCATCTCAACATTTGGTTAAGGGAGGCAACTAGGTTACAAACCAAGACCTTTTATAGGTAGAAATAGGGCTTAGGATAGGAAAACAATCCATTGACAATCATGTTCAGGACCAGAACTGAGCAAGGCTCTGGCTGCTAGTCATATATAGATTTATGCCCTAAGTTTTGGTTTTTGTTTTACCTGAAATCATTTTTACCATGAACAAGATTATGCATAAAATTTCTGTAATTAAATTCTGATAGTAAACTCTTTTCTCAGTTGTAGGCTGCCCAACATAGACTTGCCTATCAGAACCTAATAAATATATGAACCAATCCTCGGTTGGCTACCCAAGGTCAACTTGAGTACAAACTAAAAGCTTAGGCCCGACTTTGTGCTGGAAGGTCTGGTCATGGCAATCCTCAGAGTAGTTCAAGGCTAGGCTGAACAACACATCAGCCTAATCAAAATCCAATTTAGTTGAATTTTTTACCCATATTGCAATCCAATATTGCTACCCTCTCCAAGAGATCCTGTCATCGCTAGTCTCCTGCTTCAACATATAAGGTGACATAATGACCCCTTACACTTCCACAGGTATATCATGACTGCTTCTAGTTAATTCATGACTACTAGATACAAGTAACTGCACTCAGAGCCAAAATGTTACCCTAAGGTCACATGGAAAAAACTCTCAAAAGAACACTGATAATGCTTACTTTCATCTTATGCTAAAGCTGCTCAACCTAGCAATATTCTGCCTAAACACGTCCATTCCGTGCCTCATCATCGTTATTGGCCACAATGCTCACTTTGCCCATGGGATGGCTAATTACTAGCCACCAGTGACGCACATGTGAAAATTTCTAAATCACCAAATAGTGCCAATAAACTATTCATCTAGATGCTCATTCCCCTCTTCCATGGTACATAGCTCAGCTAATCTCCAACAGCATCTAAGAACAAAATGCAAGTTGCACAAGGTTTTGTACTTGAGGACAACCACTCTGCCTTTAATACTGAGAAGGTACACACACATCCAGCAACATGAAGACCAATTGCAAAGTCTTTTATTAAAACAAACCAGAAATGAATCAAAAAGAAAACAAACATACACACAAACACACATAAAAGTGGATCAGACAAAGTGAAACATGAAAGCATAAAACAAGAAACAAACTTAAAGGCAGGGGAATAGGGACAGTGCTTGTTTTCTAAGCATCATATCCAAAATTACACACACTCATATATAAGACCATCAGTTATTTATATCATGGATCACTTGGTTATACTACATATTTAGTAGTTGAAAGTTGACTCAAAATATAATATCAATCTATTTCATTAAAAGTGAACTTAAAAGGACTCCTGTAGAACACCAACTCACCAAAACTGATTCCATGCTTGCTTTTTGCTTGAAATGGGTGTAATTTCATATTACTTCTTTCTCAACATTTCAATATGTCAAACATTGCTTCCAGGAATGAAAATATTTTTAGTGTGTTTTATAATTTACAACAGCAATAAAATAGCAGACAAATCTAATTACATTTATTCTAATATATCGATACTATTGATAAATCTGGAGGACAAAAAATCAAACCTTAGAGATTGTAAGAGCAGGGCTCCACTGCTCCTTGAGGATATCAAGACAGATGCTTCCGTTACTGTTAATATTTGGGTGGAAGACCTTAGTCTTAAATGCAACCTGAAAACCGTATTTTATTAGTCATCTCACATAAAAATACAAAATCAACAATCTATAATCCATATTTAACAGAAATCTTTCCCTGGATTACTGCCAGCATCAAAATTCTTTAGTAGCTTAGCAAAACTAAATTAATGGTTTTCAATATTTTGTCTGCATAACATTATGTACCATTACCACAAGGCACAAAAAGAAGACATAACTTGTAACACTGTACCACACACGCAGTTCCTACTTTGGACTTTTAATTGACACAATTATCACTCTGTTTTTCAGTGCTAGATGTGACCATGGAAATTAATCAAATTAATAACGCTCTCTCCATATCATAAAGTACAGTCTTCCATGAACCTCGTATCGAGAACTTAGTAGACAAATTCAAACATATAATATAAATTTCCATTATATCGGACAAAACCTAAGAATGTCAAACAATTTTTCAGCAAACGGCAATATAGGTTATTGGAAACACAACATATATGTCTTGTTATTACTGGGTGTTTATCTTGGATGTAAATTTCAGCCTTCACGTACTTTATCACGTGTTTCATTGCCAGGCTTCTCAACAGTTTGTCATGAAGAGCACTTTCTAATTAAACATAACCAATTTGCATTGGCAGAAAATAAAAGAAATAAAAGCTAGTCCCAAGGTGCACAAAGAGTACCAATTTTCTTCAAGCAAACCTCCTTTAAATACTCGCAACTAAGGACACCTCATTAGAAGCCATTGTGCAATCCATCAAAGGCTCGGAAGATGTCAAAATGAAGATAATAGCCTGAGAGTGCACAATAGTAAAAAGAACTATGCAGAACAAGAACAAACTTATAACTTTATACATGCATTGACCTTCGGTAACAGAATAACTATTGGGATCAAATCAACCTGCACCTCGTTTCTTTCAATAGTTCAAAAGCACATTGTCCAAAGAAAAGTTACTGACACCAAATCCAGGGAGAGGGGGGGTATCAGCATGTTATATCATCAAAAGTATAATAATATAACCTTAAAAACTATAAATAAATCAAGATCATAGATCATATCACCTTCTGGCAGCATGGGTCATTAAAACTAATAATGCTGTCATATAGCTCAAGACAAGTCTCACAGATATGATTCAGAAGGAAAAAAGTGGAAAAGAAAAAAAATGTCGCTTCCCTTTATTTGCACAACACTGTCTAGCAATCTAAATTAAAGAAAAATATACAACTGTACAAATAATAGAAGAAAACATAAGAAAGAAACTCCATACAAAAAAATAAAGAAGAAAAAGAAAACAAATGAAACATTACAAAGAACTATATTGGACATGTAAAAATAGGGAGAAGAATATATACTAGCATCTCAATCTGCTTCAACAAACCTCAAAACCTCTCCGTAACAAGTCAACAATAAAAAGCCTACACTTGAGGCTGCTTTCTTCCTATGAACAAAACAATAATCACATAGCCACAGTTATGTACAATACATAACCACTGTCAGTCTAAGGCATAGTATACACTCATTCCAACCTATGCGACATGGACCCTCCAAATGTATGAACTACCCAGCAAGGACATCTGTTCAAGAGTTCTTGAACATTAACCAAACAACCATACTGAGTAACGACTACCTTGATTCTGCCATATAATTACAATTTTCATATCATGCATGAAATGCTCTGTGGTAATTGAACTCTATAAGCAAAAACCAAATAATAAATGCAAATAATTTTCTCTATGCCTACACACGTAGTGCCAAACCATTAATCTAAACATCCAAATCCCATGAATCAGCTGGATCAATATCACTTGGTGTTGCAAACCCATGCAACATAATTCTTTTATGGTTTTGGTTGCTGGACCTTTTCCGCCACAAAAGAACTGACTTTGCACTGTAAGTGCTTGTGGTGGGTGACCGTAATAGTCAAGTCACATAGATCATTGGATTGCAGAAGCACAGTGTAGTTTTCTTCACTAGGTTCAAGGTTCATGGGTTGTTGGAAGCTCTCATTGTCACACTAAAGGCTGCTACTGCTAGGCTCTTAGATGGGCTTGTTCAAGAATCCCCTGCATCAAGAAGCCGCCACCATAAAGCCCACTTCCTCCTTGGTAGTTCCTAGGATCTGAACAAAGTAGCTCCCTGATTTGGAATTATTGAATTTTGTCAGGGTAACATCCAAAGCAAACGCAAGAATCAGGCTGAGTTCAAGAGCTAACTACGCAAACGGAATGGCATAGGAGCAAAAAATAGGGGTCTGGCACAGCAGAGCAAGGAAAGTCCCTCTGCAGGTGTGGCTGCACCAGATTATTAATCTAGTTTTATTTTATTTTGATTATAATTATAATTGGAATTCTTTTCTACTTTGGCAGCTTTAGTAATGAATGAATTTCAGACATTTTCTTGACTTTGAGAACCTCTTGAAATTGGACTGAGAGCTTGACTGCCATAGTCATTCAGAATCTCCCATTTGGTATTGCATTATTTTGATATACGATCAAATCAATCCATCAATTTTGCAGATTCAAAACATATGCTCTTTCATCCTTATGAGCTTCTCAAAGGGGCATTCCTCTTTGCAAATCATCTTTGTCAATCATCATTCAGAGACGTGACTGATAGCATAAGAAGATTGTCTTGCACCACACTATTGCAATCAACTTTGCACTACACTTGTCAAGAGGTTCCAGATCCTCACAACCCTACTTTAACCTTAGCTATCACTGAAGTGGAGTTGTGGTGAGAGCAGCTTGTAACCTCTATTTGTGATTCAGTTCGCAAAGTTGGAGGAGTGCCTGCCATTTGTGGGAGTTCTTCTGCTTGCTCATGCCACCACAATGAAAGCTTCACCAGAAGCCGTTCCTCATCAGAGCCTTTGGCTTTGTTGCAGAAGACAGATAGAGTGACAAAACTAGCATGACCTGTTCGAGTTTGAAAAAAGAACAGTCTGCTGGTTTGGGCCTTTTGAACCCAGAACAGAGCCAAACCATCCTAAGCAGATCCAGGTCTGATTCCACTCCCGTTCAAATCAGATCCAGAGCCAGATTCGTATCCAATCTGGTCCGGATCAAATCTAAATCCAATCCAGCTCGTATCCAACTCAGATCCAAATCTGGTTTAGCTCAAACCCAGCTCGGATCCAGGTACAATATTTTTCAATGAAGAGGCTCCTTAATTGTAGATTCATGTCAGATTTGACAAAAAGAAGTTAGAGCACCATGATCTAGCATTTATTCCTCTGGAACCCAAGCATATTTGGAACACTCTTCTGCAAGGGATCATCCATCATATTCAAGGTATTCTTATTACGATCAATCTTATAATTCTCATTTGCAGTAGGGATGACGATATTCACATAGCCATAAGAAGAATTATAATTATCACATGCCAGTTAATGGGGCTTCTTCTAGAGATTATTACGGCAAAAACTATTCACACATATTCTCCAAGAGCTCCGGAACGTCTAAAACTTGTTCAAGTAGAGCCAAATTGAATCTTATTGATTCAAGTCGAGAATGAAACATATTCTGTTATTCTTCATGTGTTATATAAAGCTCTCTCTCATTATGGTTTTTTAAGAAGATTGCTACCAGTGAAGCACTGATAGCAAATATTTATTATGCTCACTATCAGTCCCTTGGTGATGATATTATGGCTTTTAAGTCTCTTGAAGGATATTTGAGTGAACAAGAAATGTTGTCACTCAAACACTTCTTTCTCATCCCCATAAGAATTGGAGGTTGGATATAGTGATGACTCGTCGTGGAGTTTTACTTATGGTACAAAGATTTCATTATCAAAAGTAAGGTGTGAGTCTGGAACATAATAAGCTAGAATTGGTTTCGAATGGCTTGAAAAAGGTGCAATCAACTTTAAATTCAGTCCATTCACAATTGAGAATGATAAGGCAAGAAGTCTATGAGCTCAATAATCAAAATTTTGAAGGATATATGAGGACCAAAACAAGCCAAAGTTCAAGAGATCAATGCAGTTAATTAGGAGGATGAACTTGAGAATTCCACAAACAAGGCGATAAAGGAAGACCATCCCATGAGGGAAGAGTTCTAAGATTTTGAGTATATTCAATATTTTGAGTTTGTTATTCCTCCAAAATTCATTGAGTCAAAGGAGGAAAATCTATTGATTGTTCCATGAAGATCAAGACAATTAGAAGATGGATTATGGTTGCACAAGTTCAAGATCAACAATCACAGTTCTTCATCCTTTCAACACTTCAAGACTTGAGGACAAGGTGTTTGCCAACTGGACTTCTTCAAGCATTACCATTGACATAACTCGCCAGACTCAAGTTCTTCTCAAATGGGAATAATTGAAGCCGGACAATAGGGTAAAGGCCTATGTGCCTATGTGTTTTGTCATAAGCATTGATAAGTGTATTATTGCTTTAGTTTTATTTTAATTTAAAAAGTCCTATTTTGTAGTAGTGGCCCCTAAGTAGTCCATATAAAAGGGGTTGGAACTCTTTTGTATGGAAAAGCCTTCAAATACGAATGAATTTTCTGAATATTATTGCTGAATGTTTTCCTTAAATCCTTGATTTGGAAACCCAAAGCTTGATTGCCATGGTCCTTCAGCATCTCCTTTATACTATTGCATTACCCTGTGTATTCAAAGTTAAAAATTATACGAAGACAACATTTAGACAAATATTTACACCCAATCCATACACAAGAGTGAATAAAATGGTTCTTACAACATGGCTGTTAGACTGCCTCAAGCACTTTAAATAATCAACCCCCATCCCCACTGAAAAATAACATTCCAGAATTCTGGACAAGGAACAGAATTGAGTATAAGATGATTATCATCCTATTATTTAGTTATTATTGGTAATTCATGGAAATTTCACCCATAGGAAACACATAGATGCGGGGATCTTTCTAAAACAATAAGCGCCAGATCTCCTTAATCTCTAAAAAGGTGTCAACTAGTTACAATTGTTGAACAAAATATTGACACTTAGCAGTCACATGAAGAACACAAGAATGTGAAAGAATTAATTACCTTTGGGGGCTTGAAAGGATAATCAGGAGGGAAATGAATAGTAACTAGAAAAACACCTCCAGCATATGGGCTATCAGGAGGTCCCATTATAGTTGCTTGCCAATGAAACATGTCTTCAGCAACAGGACCTATTTAAATTGAAAAATATATTGCAAAAAATTATTACATAATATATCCACATTGAAATTGACCAGTAGTAATAAGTATCTAAATCACAGCAAAAGAAAGAAACGAAATCAAGTGTATTTCAAATCATCATAACTATAAATTCTAGACATAGTGCACAAAGTAATTCCCAAGAATTGCAGAATTATACAATATAATGGGCAACAACTCCACCTAGAACAGGACTTTTTACAATATAAGTGCTGCAATGCAACCAAAAATTGCTAGATGTCTTGCAGCACTTAATAAACATAGAATCAAACAGGAACATGATATGTATTCTGAAATCCCTTGTCGAACAGAAAGAAGATTTAACCATCACAGCACACTGATAAGTATGCCCGAGTTTTGTATTGGATAGTTTTCCTGACACAACCATTTTTCTCTATTTGAGATAGGCAGTAGATTCTGATTAGATTGAGCAGAAAGTAACAACACTGTACATAACAATAACAGTGTAGGATCAAAAAGTAGTACTGACAGTCTGGGACATGACATAGAATACACATGCGGAGAAGACCATTAAACTAACAGCTCCTCTTAGCTACCACCATCAAGGGTTGTGCATCGAGTGCAGCATGGACTGTCCCCAGACCAGGATATGTACCCAAACGTGGACCAAGCCCTCAATGCAATTTGTTCAGAAGGACAGCACATGCACACGCGCACGTGGCACACACAGAGAAGAGGAAAAAAAAAAAACCCGGAGTTTGATTACTCATAAAGTTAGTCTTCTACCCACCAAGGTTCAAGTTCAAGCCATTAACCTATGGGCATCCCAGAATTTCAATTTAGAAAAATGCATAATAACTATAAAAATTTGTGATTTGAATTCTATTTGTGCTCAGTGAGGCGTTGGCTATATATATACAGTTGAATGGAACCTGCTACCCAAAAGTTCCAATTCGAGGAGCATAGATTGTAAAGTTTATCCTCCATGCTGTAGAAAGTCACTAATCACCCATCAATCCCTTCACATTAGCATTGCAAGCAGATTAGCACCTTTCTCCACAATTATTTTCACAAACCAATTTTTGGCAAAAGCCATACATCCAGAGGACACCAAAATATTCTAATCACACAGAGCAATATTCTAGCTACATCGTACCAGCACTGCAAGAAGTTGGAGGATCCTTCTGCAAATCTTTTAGTTCCTTGAGAATACGCTTAGACGCCATACTGAAACCAACAAATAGACAACGCTTTCAAAGCTGCAGAGCCGAAAAAACACAATTAAAAACGAATTCACAAAATAAATCACAGTCACCAAACCACGAAATCAAACAGACCAGCAAAAACAATCAACCTATGTAGCGAATCCGTGATAAAGACAGAGCATCACACATGCTACACTGAAAAAATTGAAATCAACACTCGATCAACAAAGGTTTTGGTGTGTAACCCTAAGAAATGGATGATTACCAGAGAGGGAGCTTTTCCAAGAGAGTGAAGCCGACAGGCTTCAGAAATGGCAATATGACGGGAATAGCGGCGAAGAGGCGACGTCTTTCAAGCAGATCCACAGCCCCGGATCCTCCAAAACCCCTTCTGGTACCGCTTTTTCCTCCCTCGCCCCAATGTTGCACGCAAACGACTGAGGAGAGAAACGAATCTCGCCCAAGATGAGCTGTTAATAGAGATGGCCAAACACGCCTCTTTTCCTTTTCTGCCCTTTTCGGATTTTCAAATGTCTTACGTGTCCTCTCCCGGCGCTACGACTCGCTCAAGCCCCCCACCTTTGCCACTTTGACCCTGGTCATTATTTTTCCAAACAAAAATCGTAAAATATTTTAGAAAACAGTTCATATAGTTGCTATTCACAAATGTGAATAAATTTTGAAAACTAGTAGGTGCATATGTCATGAGATTTGAGAGACCCAAGATTACTTAAGAGCCAAAATTAACCCAAACCCTCGTGCAGCACACTAGCAAACCAACCACTCTTACACTTATCACAAAAGAGGGTAAGACTTCTAGTCTAACTTTAACACTCTCAAGCTCACCTTTTCACTCTCAAGCACTCTTTCTCACCCTCACTAAGCCCTTAGAAAGATGCTCACAAATGCCTTAGCCAACTCACACTTAGATACTCAAAGGAACACAAGAGAGAGAGAGAGAATAACACTCTTGGAGAGAGAAAGCACAAGAGACTATTATTGCTCTCAAGCTTGGCTTCTTACAAATGGGAGGGGGAGGCCCCTATTTATAGAGGAAATCAATGGCAATTCTGTAAATAATGCAGGATTCCAAAAGATTCGGGCGCGTCTGGAAGGATCGCGCCGCACCACGCGCCGGCACGTGCTGCGCCCCGTGGCGCAGCGCTCACCGTGAGCGCCACGCACCTGGGCGTGCCGCGGCCTTAAGCGTGGCACGCTCCTGCGTGTGCCGCTTGTGTGCTCGTCCGATGTGTCATCCGAGCTGGCAGCTGATCTATCATGCAACGTCTACACCGTCTACCACGTCAGCCGCGTCTCTGGAAGCTTTCGTGCCTGGGTCACTGTCTGGCGCGCCTCGAGCGCTCTAGTGCTCTGCTGCTCTGTGCCTTGGCTGCTTCCCGGTGGCTGCCCCTGATCCATCTCCCCTTGATGGTTCCCGGATGACTGTGCCTTGATGCCCGGCTCATCTTCAAAACATTCTCCCCCACTGTTCCCAGTTCCGACTCTCTCGTTGGCCGCCATGCTCCCAATTGGTGCCTTATTTCTCTCTCTATGAGTCGGGTCTTCAACATCACCATGATGCCTCCTCCGGCGCCACCTCGCATCGCGACGCGCTCGTGTGAACGGGCCATCACCATGGTCCGTTACAATCTCCCCAACCGAGTCCGTTAACGCCCTCGTCGATGTCGGAACACTTGGCGGCTCTTCCCGTCTCGTCCAAGTGTCTCGATCACCTTGACCCAGCTTCTCTTCCTCATGCGGCAAAACCTCTTCGTCCAAAACCCCTACCTGTAACTCATCACAGATAGGTGCTCCCTCCTCCTCACTTTGGCCACTCACGGCCTCTCTTGACTGAGCTCCACTCCCCTCGGTGGAACCACCTTCGGTCTTGGCTTGCGACTGACCCGTGCAGCCCAGCTATAGCATCTCCTTTGGGGTGTCACCTACCCTAGGACCAACTCCTGTGGTCCTCTCATGCCTTCCATCCTCCTCTGCCAATACCGCTTTGGCCACGATCGGCGTGCCTCCTTGGAGAATGCCTCGCTCACAAGCCTCCTTCTCGGTCGTCAGTTCCGTGCTTCCGACCTTGTCCTCCTTCAAGGGTGCTCCTCCCTTGATAGCAAGTTGGTCTCCAATCTTCTCCTCGATTGGTGACTGTCCAAGCGATCCTGACGCTTGGTCCTTGGGGTCAACCACGCTTCCGCTGTGCCCCACTGATCCTCCCTCGAATTGGTCCACCTTGGCTACTTCCCTCTCTAGGCGGTACGTTCTGATGGAGCCAAGACTCTCATGGATCCCATTCTTCAGGTGTCTCCATCCTCCTCCATCTTTCCCTTGTCCTTGTTCGAGGGCTCGGTGTCATTCCTTCACATTGCCGCCATTTGATACTTCTGAGGGCACTCCCTTGAGTAATGAGGACCCTCGCATATGTAACACTTGACTGGGGGATGGCCACTCTTTCCGTTGGGCTTCTTTGTCGTCCTTGGCTTGGACGAGCCTTCCTCATCATCACTACTCTCGGCGCGGCTCTCCTTGCCATGACTCTCCTTGTCGTTCTTCTTGGGAGGCACCTCCTTCTCCATTGGCTTGTATTCCGTGAGGGACTCCATCGCCTCTTGGAGCGTCTTCACATTCATTCGATTTAACTCGGTCTTCGCCCAAGGTTTGAGTCCGCCCTTAAAGAGGAAATAGGTGTCCTCATCCCTTAGGTTGGGGAGTTGGAGGCGTAGGTTGGCAAAATCCTCCACATACTTACGCAAATCTCCGGTGTGCCTCAACTCTTGAATCCTCTCCCTTAGATCCTCCTCGGCATTGTGTGGGATGAAGTACCTTCAAAACTCCATCTTGAATTCCTCCCACGTCCTAATACCTTGAGAAGAAGCCCTATGGTGCCACCATGTTAGTGCATAACCAAAAAGATAGGCAAAAGCAATACTTATTTTCTCCTTGTTTGAGTAGATGCCCAATCCTTAGAAGTAGCTCTCGCAAGACCATATGAAGTTGTCTACCTCCTCGGGATCTCGCCTTCCACCATAAAAGCGAGGCTCCGGTATCTTCCCCTTGGAACCCGTTTGAATCACCACGGCCTTGCCTTCCACCATGGTCATCAAGGCTGCAACTTTCTCCTTGAGGGACTCGATCTCGACCCTCGTTTAGGAAGCACGACTCCCATCATCCTCGGTTGCCTGCGACTCCTCTCACAGCATCTCCACCTCTCATCGCAGCTCATCTAACTTGTCAAGACCCTCCAAGGCCATCACGAGTTGGGCTTTGGTGTACCCCAACTCCTTCTTCACAACGTCTCTTCTTCCTTGGGCTCCATGGCCATTACCTCCAAGACCTCCACCCGTTGGACCAAGTCTTGGTACTTGAGCATGGCGTCGTCCCTCCCATGGCATACCTCAGACATCTTCTTTTAGATTCCCACGATCTCCTCCTTGACCTCCCCTAGGTCAGCAGAGAGCACGTCCACACTCTCCTTCAAGGCTTGGATGCAATCCCTTGAGATGTCACGGCCCCTCCTTTTGGGAACCACTAGAGCCTCCTCACGACCCACCTCGAAAGACTCCATACCTGCCATGAAGAAAAAGAACTACTAGGCTCTCCACTTAGAGAAGCAAGGAAACCACAAGACCACAAAACGTGGCTCTAATACCACTTGTCACGACGTTTGGGAGGCCCAAGACTACTTAAGAGCCAAAACCAACCCAAACCCTCGTGCGCCACACTAGCAAGCCAACCACTCTCACACTTATCACAAGAGAGGGTAAGACTTTTAGTCTAGCCTTAACACTCCCAAGCTCACCTTCTTACTCTCAAGCACTCTTTCTCACCCTCACTAAGCCCTTAGGAAGATGCTCTCAAAGGCCTTAGCCAACTCACACTTAGATACTCAAAGGAACACAAGAGAGAGAGAGAAAAAACACTCTTAGAGAGAGAAAGCACAAGAGACTATTATTGCTCTCAAGCTTGGCTTCTTACAAATGGGAGGGGGAGGCCCCTATTTATAGAGGAAATCAATGGCAATGCTGTAAATAATGCAAGATTCCAAAAGACTCGGGCGCGTCTGGAAGGATCGCGCCACGCCACGCGCCGACACGTGTTGCGCCCCGTAGCACAGCGCTCATCGTGAGCGCCACCCGCCTAGGCGTGTTGCGGCCTTAGGCGCGGTGTGCTCCTGGCACGCTCTTGTGTGTGCCGCTCGTGTGCCTAGCATGTGTCCGTCTGATGTGTCTCCGAGCTGGCAACTGATCTGTCATGCCACGTTTGCACCGTCTGCCACGTCAGCAACCAGTCTGCCACATCAGCCGCGTCTCTGGAAGCTTCCGTGCCTGGGTCACTGTCTGGAGTGCGCCGCCCCCCGTGGCGTGGCGCGACGCGCCTCGGGCACTCCAGTGCTCCGCTACTCTGCGCCTCAGCTACTTCCCGGTGGCTGCCCCTGATCCATCTCCCCTTGATGGTTCTCGGATGACTGTGCCTTGATGCCCGGCTCATCTTCAAAACATTCTTCCCCACCGTTCCCGATTCCGACTTTCTCGTTGGTCGCCATGCTCCTGATTGGTGCCTCATTTCTCTCTCTATGAGTCGGTCTTCAACATCACCATGATGCCTCCTCCAGCGCCGCCTCGCATCGCGACGCGCTCATGTGAACGGGCCATCACCATGGTCCGTTACACATACATAGGTTAAATGTTATGACCCAATTTATTTTAAGTTTTTCATTTTGGTGCATTATTTGGGATGAGGGGCTTTAATGATTAAATTAAAAGTAATTGGGGTCAAGTTGTAAATCTTGGAGGGGTTAGATTGAAAGAAATTAAAGCTTAGGGGATTGGATCATGAATAAAACTTATAGGTTTAGCACAACAGTGGAACGAATACTATGCAAGCCATACCATGATCACTATGGCCGATTTTGGCTTAAAAACTAAGATTTTGTGTGCAAGACAAATTGATGCACATTTGCCTTCAAACAATTTTGAGATTGAGAAAGAAATTTGAGTTTTGGTGGCTGACAGAACTCACAGATGATTGAAGGGGAGTTTTTCTGTGATTTTTGAGCTTTTAGATCAATTTTAGTCCAATTAAAGCACATAGAGTGGTTTGCCTGGCTTGGATCTACAACCCTTAACCTTTAATTGATTGAGGTAAGTCTTTAATCTATAAAATTTTTATGTTTGTTGGGTCAAGTTTAGTTCTAGATGTAAGTAGGCTACTGAGTTGGGAACTGGGCAAAGAAGATAGACCCAAATGGCATCTGAGTCTGCACTAAGTCAACCCAGGCAAGTAGGCTAGGTTGGATAGGAATAGATTAGGCTAGCCCAAGTGGGCTGGGCCAAGTCGAGTGGGCTGAGTTTGGTGGGTTGGGCGGGCCAATGAGTGATGAGTTAGGTCAAGTTGAGTGAGTTGACTCGATAAGTCAACTGGGGTCCAGTGATTTGAATCAGTAGGTTGACTTAGCGAATCAACTTAGCAATAAAATCTGGAATATGCTATCCCATGGATAAAATATAAGGGAATTAGAATTAAATAATCAGAGTTAGGATAAGGTATCTAAGATCCCAGTTTAAGGGAAAAAATGGTTCAAAGGTTGATTCAGCGGGAAACTGCCCGATTCAGTGGGAACTTAAACTGGTTTTGGGTAGGTAAAACTGGTCTGCACCTCTGGGTGGTTTGGTTCATCAGAAAACCTGCTAGTTCAGTACTGTTTAAACCAATTTTGTGTGCAAATGACTCGGTTTAAGGGTTTTAAAGCCGGTTCAGGCCAGTTCTTGGGTAATTAAGGCAAGTTCAGTTCGGCTATGGGGTACTTTGAGGCTGGTTTAGTTTGATTTTGAGGTATTCATGGTCGGTTCAAGCTAGTTTAGGGAGTTTGAGGTAGATTCAAACCAGTTCAAGGGTTTTGAAAGTCAGTTCAAGCTAATTCAAGGGCTTTGAAGACCGGTTTAGTATTGTTTAAAGGTTTTTAAGGGAATTGGATGTGTGTTCTTGAGTCGTGTAAGTTCCGGGTGATGGAAATGAGCCTTAGGATGCGTGAAAAGGCCTTAAAGTGGGATTTGAGCCCGGTTTTGGGCTGCCAAGTCCTTTCTTATGTTGGTTCGAGTGTGGGTTTTGATTGTATATTGTTGTGATTGTAAATTCACCACCTAAGATGCAAGGTGATCAGTGAGTCGGGGCAGCAACTTGAGTTTGACTCGATTTTGACTGTGAGTGATGATACTCTTTTTAAAACATGTGTTTTGTCACTGAGTTTTGACATGGACTATGATTTGATGCATACAGTATGTTAATATATGCAAATTTACTAGGATATGTATTGATGTATTTTGAGACTTATAATGAGCTTGATATTATCTATTTTGGCACCATATATTGATATATGAACTATATATGTGTATATGCTAACTGTTTGGTAAATGTACAACGATGATATGTGTTATATGATGTGAGGATGTCAGGGGCTTAGCTAAAGTACGATTATCTGTAGCATCCAGTGGTGAGTGTTTTGAGTCTAGTATAAGGCTATGGTGCCTTGAATATGATGCGCACTGTCGTGATGAAATTGGAACGCCAAGGACTTGGCTGGAGGACAGTGTGCCACAGCATCTAGTGGTGAGTGCCCTAGGTTCAGTGATATAATATGATGACTAGATATGATGATACCCTTACATTTATATTTTGATGTATTGTACTGCTCACTGTATATATATGTGTGTGTGTGTATTTTGGTTTACATTATGATACATATACCAACATGGCTAGAATTATCATCTGTACTCACCAAGTTTAGCGACTCATGTTTTAATATTTTTCTAAATCAGGTTGACTATTCGTTCACAGATAAATTGGTGCTAGAGCCAACTTTAATGCCGACTTGATATGTATAGGCATATTTTTTTGTTAACATTTTGTATTCTATTTGCTCCTTATTTTCGCAGATAGAATTCTGGTTTGTATTTGAGAAGTTGAGATATTTATGTGATATGATCAGTTTTGTTTATATGCTATTGTTATAAGCCTTACTAGAGTTGGTAAACCCGATGGTAATCACGAGGCTGAGTTTGGGCCGTGACATTAAAGATTTTAAAATATTTTACTTAAGTAAATATTTGTGGTCTTTGTTTTGAATTTTATATTTTATATATTCAAATAAATTTTATCAAATATTTTTTTTATTTTGATTTCAATAAAAAATCATTTTCATTTGTCAAGAATTCAAAATAATGATTTTGAAAATTTTCAAAAAATAAAATATTTAATTTTTTGCATGATAATAATTACTATATTCTGTGGACCGTATAAATAGCTTAGATAAGGACCCCATGCTTTCAGTAATATTGTTGTTCCTCTTGTTTTCCGAAAGTAGAGAACAAAAAATGCAGGGTGTCTCATGTGACAGATTTTGTTTTTTCTGTTTTGGGAAACAGAAAACATAATCAGGAAACAAGGGCTGGCAGGACCAAGGGCATGTTTTCTTCCACATGAACCCAAAATGAAGGGAATTGAAACGAGGGGAACCAGAACACAAGTTGCCAGTTTGAATCTTGCCATCCTGCTGGGGTTTCTTCTAGAAATGTACCAAAAATAGGGGGAAAAATAGTTGCTGAATTTCATGAAATCTGAAAATTTTAAAATAAATAAATAAAAGAGAAGAAAAATAAGAAAACCAGACCAAGAACTGTGGTTAAGATTAGCCATTATAGCTGCAATTACTCAAGACTCTTTCTGTAACCATGAGGAGCCAACTGGGTAAGAGCTGTTTAGGCAGAATACAGGACAGCCATAGCCTGGAGGGAGTGTGCTGTATCCAGCATGTGATGTACATCGTTAGTGAATGTGCTTGATGTTTGATGCTGCAACAAAAAATGGAGAAGGTTGAGTCAGGACTAGTGCAGGAGGGGCCACAAATTTTGTCCTTTAGTATAAGAGTTCAAATATAGGTCTGACTTCAAGAGGAGTTTTCACGGCCTGACAAATGGTAACAGAAGTCAAAGCACGCTTTGATTTGAACTCGTGAAATGCTTTTACAAACAGCAGACATTTTTCTCTTTGGACCCTCCTCCACTATTGTTTCCAATAGATAGAGGTTTATCCTAAGAGCAGTGCCGGCACCTCTCATAGAGGTGGGACCCACAGCCGAGTGAGATGTGGGTCCCACGTCTCTGTGAGAGGTGAGGACATTGCTCTTAGGAGGAGTATCGAATGAATCATGGATAGGATACATATCCTGCTTTGATTGCTATTCTATCTCAAACATTTCTACTGATGTCATGGAAATAAAGTGCAGAGCAGCAAAGTTAACATTTTCAGGTTATTAATTGTAAGAATCAAATTGTTGAATGAATGGAAGAAAAATTGATAAAGTAATTTCTATATTGTTCAAATTTGATTAAAACCTAAACAATCGATTTATTGGATGCACTTCACCATCTCTGAATACATTTTTCTGTTGAGAAAAGAGTTAAAGCAAATGCTACTTACAAATCTAAGAAGATTGAGCTAGTTCTATGACTGATCAAGGTATCTAGGTTCTTTAATTATGGCCAGGTTTCTAAGTCAAATGACTGGATTTCTTCAATCATCCTAACAACCTCCTCCATCTTAGGCCTTTTGTCTGGAACCTTCTCGACACAAGCCAGTGCAATTTGAAGCATCTGAACCATCTCTTCTTCATTATTTTGGTACCCGATTAGCTCGGAATCAAAGACCTCAGCCGTCCATTCCTCTCTGATGATGGAATTGACCCATCTCGGTAGATCAACCACATTTTCATTTCCTCCCAGTGATTGCACAGGTGCTTTTCCTGTCAGCATCTCGAGGAGGATGATCCCGAAGCTATAAACATCTGATTTCTGGATGTATTTCCTGAACTCAATCACCTCAGGGGCTTGATATCCTGCAATTTTAGGTGGAATTGAAGGTGGGGCAAATAGAGGACTTAGGCCAAAATCAGAAATGCAGCCTTGGAGGTCACGCGTGAGGAGGATGTTGGAAGATTTTATGCTTCCATGCGTGAATTTCCCACCAGATGAAGAATGGATATGAGCAACACCCCTAGCTGCTCCGAGGCAAATCTTCACTCTGGTTTCCCAGTCAAGCGTTCTTTCAGTTTCCCTGTATCCTGTAGACAATTGATCACAAGTTATGATGGGATGCTCCACTAAAGCGATATGAATTTGTACCAAAATAACACATAACCAGCTGTGTCAAACTAATTGGGAGTGACCACTGACTAATGGAGCTCAATTCACTTATAAAGAACTTCATTTCTCTGCATTTTGAATACCTATAACTTAATTTTTAAACTATAATATAGCTTATTGAACAACAGAAAAAATAACAGAAGGGTAATCCAGAGCAGGAGGCCCTGTCTCTGCCCATAGAGAAAACAGAAAGCAAGAATTATATACCATGCAGATGTGCCCACAAACTGCCAACGATCATGTAGTCATAAACTATGAGTTTCTCGTCCTTGGAATAATAATAAGCTCGAGGAGGAACAATATTTGGATGCTGTCCTACTCTTACCATTATTTCAATCTGTTGTTCAAACTCCCTCTTACCAAGAGCCACTTCCTTCAGCCTCTTCACAACCACAGTTGTTCCATCTTCCAAAATAGCTTTATATGTTGTCCCATAAGTTCCCTTTCCCATAACTTCTGCAGAAGCTCTCAGTAAATCCTCTAGATCAAAATTACAGGTGTTACCTCCCAAGAAAACCAATTTGTTCTTCCTAGCTTCTTGCACCCCGCTGCTGAAATCTTCCTTGGGATTCTCACACCTTCCACCATAAAACTTCCTTTTCAATGCACCACCACTTGTAACATTTTTCTTCTTCAAACAGCATAGCACTAAGAAAAGAAGAAAAACAAATGTAACTACAGAAGCTCCGACACCAATGCTAACCAAATTACCCACACTCAATTTTTTCTTTGCTTTCTGATAGTGAGGTATTGTTGGCGAGGGAGGAAAGTAAGTTGGGGAAGGAGACGGCGAGGTGTTCATGAGGCAGTGATTCAGTGGTGGCCCACATAACATAGGTTCCCTTCAAAAGAACAAGCAGGAAACTTTTGAAGGGAAGATGGGATTGAGCCACTCAGGTGGTTGTAGCTGAAATTGATTTGCTTGAGATTTGGGAGGTTTAGATCAGGAATGGATCCGGTGAGGGAGTTATTCTGGAGGTTTAATACATTAAGATAGCCCAATTTTTGAATTGAGTTTGGAATGCTGCCCGTGAAGGAATTAAAGGACAGGTTAATTAAGTTGAGCTGTGAGGAGAGAAGATAAGGAATATCACCCGTGAAGTTATTTTCTTCAAGATATACATAGTTGAGGGAAGGAAGGGAAAGAATATCAGGTGGAAGACTCTGGTTCAAGTGGTTTAATCGAAGGCTAAGGATTGTTAGTGCATCAAGCTTCCCAATTGTGTTAGGTGGAATTGGACCACGGAATCCAACGGCTGGGAGATGGAGAGCAACTACTCTTGTGCCATTTGGGTTACAAGAGACGCCAACCCAGAAACTGCAGACTGATGAACTAAATTTCCAGTTAAGTTTTCGACCGTGAGGCACTTTGGAAGCAAAATCAAGTAGTGCTCGTTTGTCAGCATTGAGGTCAGCGATTGTTTGGAAGACAAATATAAACAGGAGTAAGAGCAAATGGAATGCTGAAAGGAAAGAGCTTAACCTCATGGAGAGGTTTCGGATTTGGGTCCGTGGAGTGAATGGCTGTTACTATTCTAATTCCAGAAACTCCTTGTATTTGATCACACAGAACTATGATTGATCATCTCGGCCTCCCACCAAACACCATTAAACTATTGTAGCTGCGCACAAAGCGAAAGCAGAAAGTTAACAATAGATCTTTTCTGGGTAGAGTAAATTCAAATGAAGCAAAAGAAAATACAAAGAACAAAAAGAAACCCTTTATGGGATTGTCAAATTGATTTTAAACAGTGTCTTGAAGACTTAAATACCCAAGTGGCCATTATACTCCAAATCCTTGTATACATTGTCAGAAACGGCAAATAAAAAGCTCTAAAAGAATTCATCATTCATCCATTTCAAGCATTTGCATTCAAACTAATTGTTTGAGGAGAATTCTCTTCATCCAAGACTGGCGTGCCGAAGAACGACAGTTCAGCTGTTCCATTTTTGCAATCTATGTTCCAAGATTGGCATCGAACTCAAGACTATTCTGCAATCTAAGTGGTTGATTTTTCAACTTTGATCCGACCCATTTCGGGTTTGGAAAGTATTCTAAAAATTATTTTCAGAAAATAAGAAATACAGAATAGAAAGAGATTTCAATAATAATCCAAAGGTGAAAATATCATTTAGTGCACATACTTTCACACACTTGTCTACGAACATCTATATATGTAATATATATTATATATATATATATATATAGAGCGAGAGAGAGAGACCTCTAAGTTTTGGTGAATACGCGCGGCGGTGGAAGCAAACTCGCAGACGGTGAAGCTGTGGAAAGCTGAAACAAAGCCAAGGCGTTCATCTTTGGCCTCCAACGGCATTATACACTTTTACGAGAGAATAAAGCTCGAAGGTTCGGAGGACAAAATTACGGAAACACTTTACTGTGGGAAAGTGGAGTGAAACTCTTCAGCTTCTTCTTCAAGCAAAGAGCGGAAAGAAGAGCAGATCTGGAGGAGAGTAATATTCTCTCCCTTCTTTAAGCTTCAGCTTCTGCCATTACTGTTACAGCTCAGGAAAACAGAGCAGCAATGGAAAATCGCATGTCAGAGGTCCCATGGGTTGGTTAAGGAAACTAAAAAACAGGACGCTAAGCCGGCTGATTTGACTTTTTTTGTTTTCTTTTAGTCAACATAATTTTTGTTTATTGGTTGATTGACACCTGCTGTGAGACAATTTTGGCTTCTCATCATTGAGTTTTTGAAATTTTAATTTTTTTATACAGAAAATCTAAAATTTTGCAATATTTAGTTTTTTTAAAAAGAATTTAATTATTTCATATGTTTTTGATTATTTATTTTTTCATTAGAATCTCTTCCCTAATAATCAAAGAAAAAAAAATTAGGAGCAGAAGAGCCAGAAAACGTGTTAGAGTTTGTTTGTACAATAACAAAAGCAGAAGTTAACGGTCAAAAGTTCGTAAGCGGGACTCGGGTCACTTTAGCAGCCAAAAGGATTACTCAAAAGAAAGTTGAGTGTTACTGCTGGAGTGATTTTTAAGCTCTCGGGTTCCGTTTGAGGGGGTGTTTACAAATGCTCGCGAAAAATCTGAAGGGGGGTTTACAAATGTTTGTGAAAAATTGGGAGGGGTTAATTTAAATGGAAATAGATAAAATTAAATTTTAATTAGAAGTAGAGGTGTTTGTAAAATACATAAAAAAATTTTGAAATCAGTAAAATGATATTTAAAAGATAATTTTGTGAAATGATTGTGGATAAACTTTTAGAATTAAAAAGATTATCTTACTCTTATATATAATTTTTTTATTTTATTTTTTATTATTATTTACAATATTTCTTTTTTTTTTCTCTTATCTCTCTCTTTCACTTTCCCTGTCTTTCCCCTGCCCCCCCCCCCCTAGTCTCTGGTCATTGTAGTAGTCGGGAACTTGTTGTCGGCTAAGATCGAGGTATGAGAGATGCGTTCAGTTGGCCAGTAGTGTCGATTGATAGTAGTGATTGACAATGTCGCCCCCTCCCCGTTGCAGCTCCTCTCCCCATCGTTGCGCGCAAAAATATCAGTAGTGACCCCCTTCCTTGCCGACACCCCCCTTATGGCTCTCAAGAATAAGGCTAGAAATAATGAAAAATTTTGAGAATAAAAAGATCAAAACAATTTTAAAATAGTTTAGATTTAATTACAAAAATGTCATTGAAATCCATAAGCACATTCCTCCCTATTTCAAATTTTTTCACTATTTACAATTTAATTTAAGTAAAGTAAAAATTAAAAATAGTTTTATAAACATCTAAAATCACTTTTTAATTATTAAGAAGCTCAGAACCTACAAGCAAAAGTCATTGCAAACACCTCCTTAATGTAAATTAGGAATATGGGTGTGTTTGGATTTTTTTTCAAAAAGTGTTTTTTAAAGTAATTTTGGTAAAATTGATTTTATAAAAAATAGAAGTTATTTTACATTTTTACACTATTTAGATGATAATATAAAAAGTGATTTTTATATAAAATTTGGCTGTGCTGGCAACAAAAGAAAAATATGAAACTACATTAATTTGTTTGGATTTGTGTTCTATTTTTATTTTTTATTTTTAAAGGACAAATAGGTTTCAAAATTTCCAAAACCAAATTTTCATTATAAAAGATATATTTCCAGGAAATTTTTCTCCTATTTCTTTTCATTTTTTTCCCGATCATAAACAGTTTAAAAAAATCTAGGGTTTGAATTTTTACTGGTCCACTTTTTTAAAAAAATGGAAATAGTCAAAAGAATAGTTATTTAATTTTTTATTCACTAACTTAAGGGAAGTGGTCACAGTAGCAATTGGATTCTCTCAATTTTGATAAAAATTAAAATATATATATATATATATATTTGATACATACAAAGAAATATTATGCGTCAATATTTTCAATATCACATATTTTTGATCAATTTTTATTTTATAAATTAAAATAACAAATTATGTGCATTAAATATATGATATCAATCATACATTGTCATATATAATACCATATAAGAGATAAAAAAAAAAATTTTTAAAAAAAATTTTACAACTGATCAATAACATCCTCGTAGCACATGGGTCCACCTAATAGTTATAATATAAATAATAAAATAATCTTATATCCACTTACAAGAATTAGATATGAATATTGCATCACGAGCACGAGTAGTCACAGGATTTGTTTGTGAAAGTTTCTATTTCTTAAGAAGTGTTGAAAAATAGTAGTAGTAGTTAAAAAAGTGCTAAAATCATAAAAGTCACAAGTGTTTGGAAATTTTGTTAAAAAATAAAAGATGCTAATAGTAGGTATTTGATAAAAAAAAAAAGTTATACTAATTACTTGTAATTTTAAAATGTCCAAATTGCCATTTTTTTTTAAAAAAGTTGTAAATATAATATATAGAAATAATTTTTTTTAAGTTGTAAATATAATTTTGACTTTATTAATATCAAACAAAAAAATTAATAATTTATATTTTGTATAAGTTATTAATAATTTATATAATTGCTCTTATATAAGTTAATAATAATTTTATAAAACCTCATTATTCATATTCTCCTTACTAATTTGTTGATAGTAAGACATGAATTTAAATAAAATACTGGAAGTAGAATTATTCAATAATATTTTGAATTATTTATAAATATACCATTAGTTACAAGAAGTAGGCTTTTATCTACTTTTGCTTTTGCCTATATTCTACTAAATTTTAGAGAAAAATAATTTAAAAGTAAATAACCCAAATAGACAAAAATACTTATTTTCAATTGAAAGCGAAATTTTATTATTTTTTAGCTCTTCTAAATAGGTGTACGGTATCCTTAGTAGAATTAATCTCATATGGTAAAATAGATAAATATACTTGTATATATATATATATATATATATGGATCTGTGTCACATTATTTTAACTGTTAAATTATGATGAAATTTAAATTATTTTATTGAAGTGATTAAAGTGTCAACTTAGACGATAATATTAAGTTACAATTGGACATTATAGTTAGTAAAGGTAACAATTCATTAACTAATCTAAGCGATCTTGTAGTTTTAAATTGGAATCTGAAGTGAATTGTGATATTGAGTGTTTTTTGAAAGGTTGATTAACCTGAAATGTCTTCGGACAACCTGACACATTTAAAATTACTAACATGACATGACAAATGTTTATATATACTGCATCTTTATACAAAAAGGTTCCCTGTTTAAATTTTATATTGGTATTTTATAAAGTATAATTTTTATTTAAAAAAAATTAATTTTTTAAAAGAGATTTAAAATTAATTTTAAAAAAATTTAACTTATTAAAGTAAAAAATTACTAATCAGAGGTTGACTTTTTTGTCAGATAGTAGAGAAAATTTAAATGAAACACATGATAACTCTTATGTTGTGTGTGTGTGTCTGTGTGTGTAAAAGCCGATCTGAAGTAAATACAACCCCAACTAAACCGGATGACATGATTGGGACCTCTAGTCATTAACCAAATGGACTTTCAAAATAGGGAGGGTCTAAGCGGTCCACAACCTTCAAGGGGAGGTAGTTTTGCCATACAGCAGGAGGCAATCTTATGGCTATAAATATTTATTTATTTGATATTTCAAAATGCGAATTCATGTATTTCTATTAATATTAAAATTTTAAAATAATATTGGAATTTAATGATTTTAACGTTTAAAGAAATCAAATTTGATATGAGATTAATGTATATCAATTGTATGTTGGAGACCGAAGGAAAAATGTGTGCATTAATTGCATTCAACTGAATCTGTAAGTTGGTAATGTGAACGTTAAAATTAAATAATTATATTTTATTTCAATTTATTTTTCCTATGCTTATATAAGGATATGTAAAAAGTCATACGATGCTATAATTAAATAACTATATTTTATTTTAATTTATTTTTTCTATGCCTATATAAGATTATGTATAAAGTTAAGTAGGGTGAGTTTTCAGAAAGAACAAGCAAGAAATAAACGATAACTGTGTAAAAAAAAAAGTAATGGTT